CAACCCTCTCCTCAAAATTAAGTTCATATGCAGCTAATGTGCACTGGCACAAATGTTTCGTAAGAAATTTCATGCCACAAGGATTTATGTTTTTCAACAGCACAATGAGGACACTTTTACATTGGTTGTATCTGGAGCTGCAGCTGATTTTTTTTTTTTTTTTTTTTTTCCTCAACTTTTTGTTTCTTTATTTTTTTTGCAAATGTCTGAAAACAGTGAAAAATGTCCAGCAAAGTTTCCAGAGCCCAAAGCGACATCTTCCAACAGTTCAAACATCTAAGATTTGAATTTAATTTAAAAAAGCTGGAACTAGCAAGAAATGATAAAACAATCAATTGCTTATCAAAAGTGCTGTTGAAATCAATCAGTGACGGGTCAATGCTGCTTTATGGCATTGTTGGATTTGTAGGACTTTTGTACTGATCGGATTAGTGTTTTTTTTTGTGCAATGCTTTAGGGCAAAAACATATTTCCATCTATCTTTATACATTTTTTTTCCCACATTGAATTTCCAGAAAATCTACTATACTGTATATTTCTATCGCATCTTAAACTTAAATACACCTTAATAGATAGTTTAATCAATGTCAACAACACCTGATTACATTTGGCCTTGGAACGCGTAATGGAGGGTGTGTTTGGATAGAAAAGACTTGGACACAGATGAGTGGCAAAAAATGGCTGAATGTGTGTACAGACAGATAAATGCATACACAATACAAAGAAATCTCTAAACCCAATCAATTGACCATCTGATCCGTCTATAATCCACTCCCACCATCAAACAATCTCGAGCCGGCCTCGCCCTGACACTCCAGCTTCATTCAACACACTGAGCTTGCAGCACTGTTGGGATTATGACGCTTGGCTGAATACACTCCTGAACAAACATACAGATGGTGTTTGTTCAGCAACCACAACAATCTGAGGAGAAACAGTTTACCCACATTGTCAGCGGGTAACAAACTCATCTGTGTGCAGCATCTATAAAACCTCACCAAACTGAATCCAGAGGGATATTTTTACTTGACGTTTCAATCCGCAGCCACTGGTGAATTCCCTTCGTAATTTGCATGTTCTGATGTGAAACTGCAAATCGTTACAGAGCCAGATAGAGTGCCAGCCACTCTACAGTACACTATGAGTGCTGACAAACACACACACTCACACACACAGTCGTGAGACACTGCCCACACACACTCACATTCGCCAGTGTGAGTCATCCAAAAATTACATTCAGCATCTCTTGTTCCAGCAGCAGGGCGGAGAGGTTAAGGCTTTGGTCCTCTGCTGTTGAGTTTGAGTTATTTTATTCTGCCAGATAATAGTCTAACAAACAAAGAAAAACAAACAGCATATGGAGCTGCTGGAAAGAAATATCACCCTTTGTCCAGGGAGGGGTTATCAACCACATTCTTCCAGCAGTCATCTATTCCAGCTGTTGGGGAGAATTATTCAAAATGTAAAATCTCGGATTTCTGTAAATGCTCGTGTTTTAGCTTTGGGCCATTTACAACCACAACCTGTGACTCACAACTAATTAAGACTGAGACATAAACAAAACACTTGTTCGGATTCCTTGGTTCAAGATCAATATTTCAGTATATTGGCTACAGAATTTCTGCCTAACAGACTTTTTGTTTAACAGAACTCCTACAAATTTCATCCAGTCTTCACCAGATTTGGTTAATAAAATATTTCACAGCGCACAAAAGAAATGTACTATTTTTTAGACCCATAGGCTAAAACCTCTCAGTAAATGGCTGCTAAAGTCATCCGGGAGTGGATTAGCGTACTTGAACTGCAATAATAATGAAAGAGTAGTCTTGTGGTTGTGACGGTATTTTGTCTGTAGGAGGCGCTAGAGCAAGGCTGTAATTTAAAATGGCCATAACAGATGTAGCCTCTTTGACGGCACACACAGGTTTTCTGAAGAGCAGTTCTGAAGCTCAGAGTGAGCTGCTCTGCCATCGCCATCCTGGCAGCGTCTGACTCAGCCTATAACTCCCAGCTAATCTAAAAATGGTGAAAGAGGAGACGGGGGGGGGGGGCTTGGGGGCATTCTGGTCTGTGGCAAGCATACGCTCGCCCACCTTTCACTCAAAGCAACACAGCCTTAATTCTCCATAACTTTAAGTCTTAAAATGTAAACAGGTGAGTTATATAAACACTTGGAGAGAGAAAATTAGCTTTAGAGACCATATCTGTTTTTTGTTCCAGGCTATAAACATGTTTATTTCTGCATCTTAGCATGGGAGTTTATGGGGATTGACTCACTGTTGGAGCCAGACTCTAGTGGTCATTAGAGGAACTGCAGTTTTTAGCACTCCTGTGTTGGCTTCATTTTTCAGCTCCGGAGGTTGCCGCTTTCTAATGACAGAATTTAGGTATATAGATGTCCAAAACTCATGTCCAATTTGCAAACATTTTTCTAGCATTAAAGTCAAATATGGATCGAGCAGCCTTGGCGTGGGTATGCGCTCTCTTTACTGTGATGTTATGTTCTGCAATTGATGTTCATGATCCCCACCTTGACGCTGCATGATTTATTCTGACATTTGCCATCTCTACCTTCTCTCCTCAGTGGAGAAACAGTCTTGAGTGTTATCTAATGGGAGTTGGCACCTCTGGGCCTCTTCATCATCCACGCTTTTAATGAATTAATAAAGACCTGTTAGTTCCTCTAAACACAGTCCCACACAAAGCTCAACACCCTCATTGGATCACTTCAAAAACACCCCAGGTGTCCACTGCTGCAGCACCGATCTCCACACCGGCGAGCATCAGTCTCCTACGATCAGTGGGTCAAACTGGCGATAGTGCTCTGCTGCTCCTCACTCCTGCTGACTCCATAATGATGCGGCCTGCTGAGGACAGGAAGAAACCCCACTGCTGTATTTCTGCATGATGGCATTTTCATGCTCAACCCTTTGGCAGAGAGTTCTCTCGCCAAGACGGGCACCTTCTCTTCTCCTTGCCTCCAAATAGGGTTTTTCATTGAATCTGCAAATAATGGTCATGTTTCTTTTTTTTTTTTTTTTTACTGATTAATCAGTCATTTATTTTTTCTATTAAATATAAAGTTCTAATATAAATACAGTTCCCAGAGAAGCTAGGGCCAGAAATGTTAAGCAATTAATCAGTTATGATGACTAAATTTCCTGTCAATCAACTGCATCCAAATCCATCACAGAACAGCACCCTTGGCCATTAGTGCCGTCTGTCTTCCTATCACCTCTCATCATCTTCCTCCCCCTCCTCTCCGAGGTTTTCTCTACAGCTCTGGCTTCTCTACATCAGGTACCTACTCCTTGTGTGCCATTGATCCCTCATTAGCGCCTTTCAAAAAGAAAGAGAGAGAGAGAGAGTGTGTGTGTGTGTGTGTGCGTCTTTTCATGCAGCTTCAGGTCAACACTTGGCCACAATCTGAACTGACTCCTATCATTTCTTTGATAGCCTAAACTCTCATGTCATGTTACACCATCTTGTCTCTGTCGCCCAGGGAACCATGAACTCTCCCCGACCTGACCTCAAATCCATCTTTGGCTCAGTAAGCACACATGCCCCCCCCCGTGTCGCCAACCAACACCTCTCCTTTACGAAGTAGCTTTTAGGCGCTCTCCGTCTCTAAGTGTTTTTTTTTTTTTTGTGGAGGCTCGTGGAACAGTGACAGGTTTCTTCACATAAAAGAAAACCCTTGTCGTGCTCCCGTTGCTGAAATCTACCTCGCCTGGAGAGCTGCCCTGAGTGCAGTGAAACTGAGGAGTAACACCTCTCCACCACCACCATCACTGCCACTGCTGAAGAGGAGCTTTGTTGTGGAAACAATGGAGGACCTGAGCGTTTGTCACCTTTTGCCTCTCAGCTTTCAGCAAGTGCAGGGTGGTCCATTCACATTTCCCAAGAATATCTCTGACGTTAAGCAACTAGTGTTTACGTTCTCTTTTCCGCTTCTTAGAGAAAACCTTCCTCTGACCCAAGACACTTAACTGCGACTGTGCTCTTGAACTTGCCCTAACATCTCAGATTGGTATTCCAATTCTGTTGCCAATCTTAAAGTTTTTGCAGTTGCACCCGCTGGACAGAAAAGCTACAGCTCACTTTCACAAATGCAGCCATTTTGATCTTAGTTATATGTCAATCCATCAACAACAGAGACAGCAAAGGAAATTTACATGAAGTCATTGCTTACAATGAAAAGACCCAAAATGAACATTGTTGGGTCCAGGGAGAACAAATCAAGCAGGTTCCAGCAGGACATCCCTCTGCTAGCAACAGCTTCTTCTCTGTAGTGTGTTGAACAACTTCAACTGAACTGCCCAGAGGGCAAACTGTCAGTTTGGAGGTTTGGTCGCAACAGGTGAAGTGTAGCCTATATGACCCGCTCTCATCATAATTGCTAATAAAGCATTTTAACCAGGGGTAGAGTGGAGGCTGAACCCTTCAGGAGGTGCATCCACTGCTGCTGCGAGGAACTGCCTTGTCCACACACACACACAGAGGCAATTAATCGATTACAGTTGCGTTACGTGTGCTACCTCCTCATTTCTTATTGCTGTAACATGAATTATGGTTTGTCAAAGTGAAAGAGATTTGAAGGAATCACTTTTGGCGCTGATAATATGTAACCTTATAGAGGCGAAATCATTAATCGATTCACCTTTGTTGAAAAGAACCAGCTGCCTTTCACATCATGTCTGTATGTCTCAGACTGATCCAAGTTGTCCTGCATCGTGACGAGAAGCACCGCGCTTTTCTTCGCCTCTCATGGAAACATGAATATAATTCCTTCATCATCATCAAATCACTTCACATCATAAAAGGAACAGGCGGTCGTGTTACCAAAGTGACAGGGTACACCAGTCGGGGTCAACTGAGTCAAAGTTATCCGCTGTCTGTCCTCTATCCCCGTCCTCTAATCAGACATCCACCGGTGCAGCAGGTGTCCCTCCACGGCAGGAGGTCGCGCGGTAAACAAAGTACCAAACAACCCTTCTTACCTTATACACATTCTCCGTTATACGGTGCACCTCGTCGGTCCGGGACATCCTTGTTGGAGCGTCAGTCAGAACCATAGACTAAGATTTTTTCCTTTGAAGATGAGGCTGAGATGATTTTCCAAACAGTGGCGGGAGATATTTAAAAAGAAAAAAAACAGCTGTTCGCGGGGAATCGTGTCCTGCCGGCGACTGTGAGAGACGAGCTCGTCTGGACGTGGGTTCCCTGCTTTTATAGGAAAGTCCTTCGCTGCGCCCACACCGGCTCCCCACGCAGCCAGTCAGTCAGTCGCTGCCTCTCGGTTGGAGCGCAGAGGCGGACTCACTTGAAGAGGGGCGGTGCTGCATTCAAGGACGGTGGGAAATGGGGCAGTTACGACCTGAGCTGCAACTTCACATCCTGGCGAAAGGATAGACCGAGTTCTGTTAGAAATAGCCTATTAAAACCTTTGTACAATGAACAAAGCAATGTTTAGTCTGTCTTCACCAGAGCACTGATACAGCATTCTTCATGTAGGCCAAAGTTCAATTATTTGCCGCTAACATGGCCAGATTAACCTCCTGAAGGGACCCGGGCCAAAAACGAATTGCTGGGCCCCTATTAACCCGCCACCCCCCCCACAAATATGTCGGGGGGGGGGGATTAGGATTTATGTTAGGATACCACCTGGACCCTGGTATGCTGTGTTATTCGAACACATTTTGATTTAGCAATTTGCAACATACTTTATTCCAATAATAATAAAATATGTAAGATAATATAATATGTTATAATAATGAAGGCTTTGAAAGTGGAATTTGACAAAGGGGCCTTCTTCAAGACAGAGCCTGATACAGCAGGACCCAATTTAAGTTCCCCATCGTGTCAGTGGATATTCTGCTTCAGTGGCGCATATTCCCACACAAACATTTAATCTCACCAGAAGTACAAAAAGAATGGGGCTTGGGGAGGACTTGGATCTCTGGGGCCCTGTGGCAGATGCTTGCTTGTCTTGGTTGATAATCCATCTTTGGTCATAGAGAGCCAAGAGTCTGCAGGTGTTCTTTCCAACCCAGCACCTCAGCAGCTGGTTTAACTGATGAGTTCTTCCCTTGAGTGAGCATTGATTATTATAATACATTCTACTGACTTTAGATGATTAATAGAATTTTTAATTGGACAAAACTTTACAGGCTATGTTTGAAAAATACACCTCCTGCACATAGTATTTACAACATTTTGGTACAACAGCCTTCATCAGGTAGGCATCTACATGTCATAAATGAATAAATAAATAAATAAATAGTGAGTCAGACAGTGAGCATTTCCATAAGGTGGGAAACTTGAGAAGATGACAGGCTTGGAGTCAGGCGGATCAGACTCAGTTTTACTTCTATTATCAACGATCACTAATATATTTTCTAATATAATTTCATTAAAATACAAAGTAAGCATTGTCTTCTACCACTGTTCTTTCTGCCGATTATTATGATTATCATTTAACCCTAACTAAACCAAACCAAAAATAACGGAAGATGTGCGTTACAGTGAGTCCGTGAACGCAGCATAGCATTTAAACAAACCCCGCCTCCTCCGCTGTGTCACACGCTGCCCACGCCGCCGCCTCTGCTACAACCATTCAGAAGACCTGACTCCATACAGAAACTGGAGCAGTCTCTGCCCATTTTATGCAATATAATTCTATTTAACCAAACATCAAGTCACTGTAATATTTCTGTTATATTAATATGGCATTTCTAGAGCAGTGTGTCTGTGGTATGTGACAGTAGCGCTAGGCTGTATAATATTTATATTTTTAATACAAAACCTGTAGCTGAGATATTAACCTATAGGCATTTTATTTGATAATGCATTATGTATTAAAACCAAAGATAAGAGTTTATGTGTTGTTCATTTATTTGTTTACCCTGCTCTATTTTTGTGTGGCTCCTCTGTTTTCGGCTGAGTGGGCTCTGGCTGGTATGAGTGGGATGGAGCCACATTTTCTTGGATTTCAAAGTCTTGCATGGTGGGTTGGGGAATCCCACACATCTCAGCACATCACGATGTGAAGGCCTTTGAATGGGGATTCATGAGAAAGTAGATAAAGCAGAGAGATGACAGAGGAGCAGTGCGAGAGAGGACAGTCACGCCTTTTCTATTCTGCAGCACATTTTTCTTTTAGGGAGATAAAATAGATGGGATATTTTAGGGCTGCTGGTCGCCATGATAATAAAGTGGAACCTCAGCTCGCTACCAGAACAGACTGATTTTGTTTTGATTGTCGCATCTGATTAAAGCAGACCCTGAGTCCAAACCGCTGAAAATCAATCAGCCATGTTTGTTCTTTGGCAGAGCAGCAACATTCCCAGTGTCAGGAAGCCCAGTCGATTTACTTCTCTGTGAGTATTTAATCAACACACTTATTGAATGTAGGTTTCCTTTATGTTTGCTGACTGCCACTCCAGCTTCAGGAATAATTATACACAAAAGAATTGAGATGATGGTTGTTAATCAGGGTATGCTTAATAAGCAGGTCTGTAGACTTCAGACTCAAGTCTCATGTTTTGACCTGGTAAAATCCAGCAACAGCTACACACCTCCTTTATATAATTCTTATGTTTGTCTATTAAAAGGATTTGGTCTGTTATTTAATAAATACAGTTAACACAGGTTTAAAAGGGAAATGATCAAGTCCTGTCACTTTATGGTCAGCCATCAGAGACCTGAAAGACTTTCAACTGACTGGCAATCTGGAGACTTGTGACTTGACTTGAACTTGCACCCAAGGAACTTGAAGCTTGAACTTCTCTCAAATGACTTGAGACTTGCCTCAAAATTGAAACTGAAATCAACGTTTTCATGACAAACTAATCTTCATCTCGCCCGCACTCAAAGCCGGAGACTGGAGACTCGGAAAGAAGCCGGACTTGAGTAAAAAAAAAAAACTAAGAATTGAGACTCAATCTTCCTTCAGACGTGACTCTCTAAAGGCTTGACTTAAGACATGACACACATAGATAGCGAGCACTTGGAGACTTGAATGACTCGACCCGGACCAGGACTTGAGAATTGTTTTGACGAGACTTGAAAGAATTTAAAAGCTCGATATATGATTGAACTCAATATGAGTGTTCTCACTACTTCCAGCTTGCCTTCCAGCAGACTTCATTTGTAGACTGTTATGTGACAGATTATTTGTCGGCTTATATAGAGACTTCCAGGAGAACCAGGCTGGTTGTTTTCCCGTTTCCAGTCTCTATGATAATCCAAATTAACGCGCTGCTGGCTGTAGCTTCATATTTGTTGTACACACATTAGAATGGTTTCAATTCCCATCTCATTCTCAACAAGAAAATGAAGTGTATTTACTAAAACGTGCAACTATTCCTTTAGATTACTTGAATCTGAATCCCTAAAGACTTGATCTGATCTTTTTTATCATTATTATTATTTTTGGGGCATTTTAAGTCTTTATTAGAAAGCCAACAATAGAGACATGACAGGAAATGAGGAAGAGATGGGGATTGGAATGTAACAAGGGTCCCCAGTTGGACTCAAACCGGGACATCGCAAGATCCAGTACCTTAACCCCTAGACTACCAGGGTCCCTCTGACTTGACACCTCAAAGCAAAACCATTACAATATCAAGTGACTTCAGGGACAGGGGTCTCTGTCTCTTGATTTGGATTTATCCTTCAGACTTGAACACACCGCGAGACCTCAGCCTTGGCGTGTGAACGTGTCTTAAAACGGCGTGAAAGTCGAACTGGACCTGCCCCCGAAGACTTAAATAAGTTGTGCCTGTGTGTATATTCAGTTCACAGTGGAGGTGTAAGCGAGGTAGGCAAGACTGAGGTGGGAAGGACACACACAAACACACGCACACCTACGTACCTTAAGCAACCATTCAGCAGCATTTGATCCCCCCACCCCCCACCACCACCACCACCACCTTCATGTGCATCCTACTCACTGTCGTCCTCTAAGGCTTTTTCTCTCCGCTTCAGATCCACGTCCGTGATTCATCAGCGCGGCGCTCTGACACGCAGGCTCCTCTCTGCGCGGCGCCCACTCCCACACGCCACCAACGTGCCTGTAGTGCACAGTCTAGCTGCGGAATGGAGCCGGTCCATTCAAAAAAAAAAAAAAAAAAAGAGAGATCGGCCCCGTGAAGTGGATTTCTTCCAACTCCACAAAGACGATTCAGGCTTCTTTTCAGTCTCACAAAAGGCCTGAGCGATGGAACGTCAAACACGCGCTTTGATGAAAATACTTCAAGGCTACAGATGTAAAACACACAATGTCTTCCTTCTATTCTGCAAAGGTCCAGCTGCTGTTTTTGTCCTGTAGAAAGAGATGCATAAGCTTTCATTCTTTGATCGCCCTTATAACAATAGTGAAGAGGGAAAACTGCTTTTCCAAACTCAACCTTCTGTTTTCATATTTGACTAAAAATAAATGACCAAAAGTATTTGGACCCCCGGTTTCACCCACGTGTGACGATCTGTTGCCTCCACTTTTCTGGTTTCAGTCTTTGAACCAGACGTTGAACCAGGCTGCAGGGATTTGCTCCCATTCAGACACAAGAGCATTAGTGAAGTCCAACAATGATGTTGGGTGATGAGGCCTGACCCACAGTCTGTGTTCCAGTTTATCCCAAAGGTGCTGGATGGGGTTGTAGTCAGGGCTTTGTGCAGGGCCAATCAGGGGGAAAGCCATTCAACACGACCCTGTGCAGAGGACCAGATCCTGTTCACAGGGCCATGTTGAAATAAGAAACCCCCTGCCACAGGAACGCCATCGTTCAAAATATCATTGCATGCTGCAGCAGATACTGTATATTTCCCTTCAAACATGAAAAAAACAGCCCCAGAACAAACTGATGTGGAAAGGTGTGTCCATATACTTTTGGCCGTAGAGTGTCTGCACCCACAACAGATTCTTCAAGAGACAATTTGTCGTCTGCTGCCACCTTGTGTTCAATCCTGCAACAATAACCTTTTGGATTGTGACCTGCAGTGAGACAATGGAGGGTATGACAATAAAAAAAACTGTTTATTGTAAAAAGGATGAGCAGAGAAGAAGAACAATTCCCAAAGCAATTTTTTTAAGACGAGGAGCTCGATGCGGTTCTGATGCAGTGACGTCTGCAGCCTGACAGTATTAGTCATCAGTGTTTTCTCTCTGCGAGATTAACTGATTCACAGATTAGTTCGATGGATCTTCAAAGATACACAAGCTTAGGCTTCTGAATGTAGGCCATCTTTCCTGCTGCAGCATAACACGGATCTATACAAGCGAATCTGAGCGTGATATGCACAGTAAAATAATTACAGGCCCCTGCGCTGATAATACTCTGTGGGTAAAGATCCAGGTTATGTCAAATTATTACCTTGAAGAGATTAACAACTGTTGTCTGGGCTGCAGAGGTAAGCCCACAGACGATATGATTAGCCCTTTCTCCATTGACACTCAGCTAATCCACAAGGGGAGCACAAAATTAGATTAGTTAAGCTGCTTGAAAAGGGGTCAGACTCGGAGAATATTCTGTGAAACAGATGCTTATGCAAATATTTCAGCGCTTTAGAAAAACTTTGAGGGCGGGTCACATAACTCGTGCGAGGGCAGAGCTCTCCAGCTGGGCCGCTCAGGCGGACGAGGGCTGTGCTGTGGGAACATAACGCCAGACCTCACAGAGCACATTATGTTTTCATCCTTCCAGCTTTTAAAAGGGTCAGTTCACCCAAATGACAAGAAAAACATAAACCCAAGATCTGTCCGCCTCTCCAAAAAAAAGATACATTTCTCTCTTTAGGTTTATGATTTTATGGAGGAGTTATTTACAGAGCAGATGTTGTTGGACGCAGCAGACGGAAAAGCTTCTTCAATTCAGTCAGATTTTAAAGGTCTTACAATGTTCTCAGAGGATTTCTTCAGTAAAAAGTAGTCCCAATGAAAAATGTTGACGCGTGCACGGTTTGTGGATTATTTAGATTAACAGGGAAATTGTTTCTGGAAAGAGACGTCGCTGGAAAGATTTTTAAAATGTAATTTAAAAAATTTTCAAAACAAACTTTTTGTCATTTGGGTGAACTGACCGTTTATAGAGTATAAGTATGCAAACCCAGCCCAGAGAGACCATCTGATGAATCACAATGAGTAGCACATACATGCATTAAAGTGAAGTCAATGTATGTAAAATGATTAGGTGGTAAATACAGAGAAAGAGCAATAATCAAACAAAGGTTAGGCACAGTTATCTAATCTCACAGGTCTTCATGGTTCAGCTCAGCAGTTCTCCAGGCTGCTCCAGTCCTGACTGTCTTCACGTGTCAGCCCGCAGCACACCAGGACAAACAGCGACCAGGACGAGACGGAGGAAGCTCGGTATCTGCCGTCACTTCATCACAGACCTCGGAAGCAGAGAGTTCTCCAGCAAAATGTTTGTGTGGTTTGTCGGTTTTATGTAGGTGAGTGTTGTAGAGAAGGAGCGACCGGCGGCGAGAAGGTGGGCTGAGGGAGGTCAGTCACTGTCCTATGCGGCGAGCAGCTCGCGCTGCGCTTTCTTTCTAGGACGTTCCCTCTCTGAAACAAAAACAACAGAGTCCGGCTTACAACAGGTGGCAGCGTGGAGAACCGAGAACCAGCTCCTTACAGCGACCTTACAACACCCAAACTCATTCTTCTGCACGTTAACGTGAGGCTGGAACTGTGAAGTGAAGTTTTTCTATATCATACACTCCATCACCTTCATCCCCTCTTATCATGTCACACACACACACGGGCTTGTGCTGAAGGATTACCGGAGTTATGTAGAAAACAGAGCTCGGGCAAAAAGCAGCGAGCTGCTGTGATAAACAGTGATCAGAGCAGACTCTTAATGACATCCTCCTGCAGCTGTTCATCTAACAGACTCACAGCTGTGTGGCTCCATCTTTCCTCACACACCAAAACTGACCTGAGAAAAACTAACATTACACATGCACACTTCCTCCACAGCGCTGTGTGGGATGAGAGCGAGCTGATACTCGTCTTAATAAAAGGTCAGTATTGGGGCGGATATTGAACTGTTCGATCTGAGCGTCCCGATAAGGAACAGGGTTTTTGATTCTAGAGGGACAATTTTCTTTTCAACCATGAATAATCACGAAATACATCATTTATTTCAAATGTCTCTTCATGTCAGCTGCTAAAACATCAGGTGACAACCAGGATCATTAAAAATGAAAATGCTCAAAGGCAGGTAGTTGGTACGATGACAGCAGCGCAGTGAGATCACAGATTATAAAGCTGGAATAAGATCTGGACGACACGGAGAGACTGCTTGGCGTCTCGCCAAAACCAAAGTGAGAGGGAAACTGTGTGTGAGAGAACAAACCTGGTTCCTCCTCTGTGGCCTCTGGGACCTCCGGCAGCTCGTCCGAGGGAACCTCAGGAAGCTGGACGTCTCCCTGAGAGACAGAGCATCAGACAGGTGAGACGCGTGAAGACAGTGAGGGGGAGACTGCTGGATCATCTGAGTCTCTGACGTCTTGTTAGCTTCACTTTCAAACACATTTGTGCTTTCATTAATCTGAAGTTTAGAGTCAAACCTCAAATACTCCAGTGTAAACACACACACACACAGACACAGACACAGACACAGACACAGACACAGACACAGACACAGACACAGACACACACACACACAGAGTTACAGTGATTAGACTGACCTGAGTAATGGCCTCCAGCTCAGCCAGAACAGCGTCTTCATCCTCTTGTGATAAAGAGCCGGCCAGCATCTCGTCTATTTGCTGCAGAAAAGACAAAAGTTCACAACAGAAAGAACAGACTTCACCTCCTCTGCTGAGTAACTGCGTGTCACATCCCAAAGACTCCGTCATTTCAGAGACAATTTGCAGCATGAAAATGATTAAAAAAGCAAATACAGAGCTGACATTTAATTTACAGAGGACTGAGCATTATCATTTATTCTCTAACAGACTCCTTATTATATTATTATCCGTTTCTCTATATCTGAATATCTTCTGAATAAACTGAGGGTAAAGAAATGAACTGTCCTGTAAATCGGTCATCGATGGCGGACTTACCCTTTGGTACTCGATGGCATCTTGGGTTTCATCCATAATCCGCTCTACTTCTTCAACAGACATCACCTGATGAGAGACAGAAGGTAGAGGGTGCGACGCGTCAGACATGACATCACATCACATCACATCAGTCATTAACAGACATTCCTGGGACTTTGGACGTGGCCTACCTCGTGCATCTTTTTCAGACATTCATTTCCAGCCTTCAGCCCGTTGATGACTTTGCTTTCAATCTGGGCAAACTCCAGGTCTTGAACCTGAAAAAAAAGGAGGGAGAGTTACTTTCGGTTTCACTAAAGCGTGGATGTTCCAGTGCTCAGATCTCTCACCATGCGCTCCAGGTTGCTTATCTGGTTCTCCGTCTTGTCCAGAAGTTGGTCCTGGTAGCGCTTCTTTTTCAGCAAGAGCAGTGCTTTTCTGTTTGAACCCAAGGAGATGGTAAAATCAGAATCTCTCTCAATAAATGAGGAACTCATCCACAATGAAGCTGAGACTAGGAATGGTACATTACAATAAGTGATTTAGTTAATACCAAATTAATTTGTAAGACCTCCCACTGAAAGCCAAGTAACAAAGATATATTTTGTTTGAAATTTACATTTAAAAACCCCAGTCAGTTCATTTTTATTTTCTTTCTCTGCTAGAGAAAAGAAAGAGAAAGGGAAACGGTGCCTCAGATCATCTTGTGTATGTGGCCTTGGCCCCTGGAGGTTTATAAAAGTTTCTAGTTGGTATAAGGTGTTCAGTTTCCACAACATTATTTTTCCCCAATCAATGTTGACAATACATCTGGCTGAAAAGACACAACAGGTCAGGTGAAATGATTTCTAAACTTTAACAACATCATTATTTATTAGTGAAGTATTCCTCTGTTTTCCCCGCTTTCACTGGATCACCCTATAGTTTCTGTACTCACTCTTTTTTGCCATTTTTTAGCAGCTGTTTGGCCAAAAGTCTCTCCTTCTCCAGCTGCAGGTTGATCCTCTTCTGATACTGCCTCAGCTTATCTCTTTGCTGTTTCAGTTGCTGCAATGAGGAAACGGAGACACTGTGTGAGTACACACCTGCTTCAAACTAATTCATAAAATACAGCAGCTTCTTTTTGTGCTCTACAACGACCTAACTAGGTTTACATACTGTAGCTGTCTGTGTCATTACAGTGTACCAGCAGAGCAGCCTGTCAAACTACACTCTAAATAATATCTGTCAAATATTTACGCCCAGGTAAAACACCTGTCCGACGATATATTACTAAAACAGCGAGGCCAGACCATAGACTGTATATGAAAAGGGCCAGACCTACGTTCGCCTCCTCGGTTTTATTATCGGCAGCAACAGCTGAGCACCACTTTGATTATAGCTGTTAAATTTCACAACGATTTATACTGTTGGCTCCGGCTCATGTTGGATCAAATTAATCAAAACAACAAAACCTTAAACTTGTTACTTCTCAGAGATATTGATGCCGAATTGAAGAAAAGCTCCTGAAAAGAGCTGAACTGATAAAATGATGTCGTTTAAACCGGGCATGTACGATTATTGGTGCACAAGTTTATTAAAACACTCCATTTGTCAGAGTAGTTTGGCGTGACTTGCTCATGTTACAGGACAGAGGGATCGGTGTTGCTAATGTTAGCTAGCTGTGGCACTTACCAAAACCGCTTTGTCTTGTTCTGTCACTCGGCTCTGTTTCTTTTTTCCAAACAGGTTTCCCATCCTGACACAGCATCCCAGCTACAACCTGTAACCAGGGAGGAAACCTGAATCTACGACGCGATTTTCAACTATTTTTCTAACTTGTAAGAGGCAAACTAGTGTAGCTTCCCCTCCATTATTTGTGTAGTCATCTGTGCAAGTGTCCACACCCACATCAAGACGGACGGAATCTGGGCAGGGTCAAAAACTGGAATAACGACACACAGAGCATATTAAAAGAAGGCTGATTGACTTTTATTAGCACATTAAATACTTCTACTGTTAATAAAAAACTGTTAAACTGTTAACGAACATCTGTTTTGAGCGTGAAGTATAAAGCCGAGTGTATTCAAATCAAATCGAGACTAAACGTAATGTATGTAAGATAACGAGTGTCCGCTGCGCTCCCGTGGCTACAGGAGGAACTGCAGCACATCTTTTGTCAAACTTGCGTCAATTGGGAGACGCCATACTATCACTTCCGGTGAACACTCAAAATAATACAGACCAAACGGAAGCAATCAGAAACATACTTAGAAATCAGAAACAGAAATAATATAATAGGAATAAATTAATAGGAACCTATTTGGTGAACACTCCAAATAATTCAGTGACTGTGTGTGTAGTCGGTGTTTGACCGCATTATGTTTGACCGCATTATGTTTGACCGCATTATTATTATTCATTATTTCAGACCTTCACATTTCCGCATTCTGCCCCCTGACCTTCACATTTCTGCACAATTCTCCTTCTTTTTTTCACTTCCCCTTCAACTATTCGCCTTCAACTATAGCACTGTTGTTATTTGCTGCCTGTTATTGTCACTTTTTCATTGGATTTAATCTCCAGAGAAAAGCTTTGAGTTAACACTGTTGTTAATGAGGACGGTCACTAGAGAGAGCTCTTTGTGCTCATTTAGACCATCAGACACTTTCCTGTTTTGGAGCTCAGCTTCATCACTGCTGAGGACTGATTTACACTGACTCAGGTTATTGTGACCTTCAGCTTCTCTCTTCTCAGGTCATTTATTTTACTATTCGTTTGTGTGTTTATGAAATTTATACATCTTTTGAATTATTATTGTTGGACCTGTGTTAATGTCTATTTCCTCTTTATTTATGCTCCTGTGAAGCAACAGTGTTAATAAAGTTTATTCTTGTTGAAGTCCGAGGAGCAGAGAGCAGAGACACAGCTTCGAGAATTACTTCTAACGAGATGTAATGCTTTTTGTTCTGTTCTTTTTGTCCGCAGGGATACGAGAAGTGCAAAGCCAATGTGCTTTAATGACTACATGTTACTGAGACTGACAGACCCACAGAATACACATGAGTGTTGGAGTACCCACAAAGTTTAAAGAATTCTGAGAACACAAACCCTTCATTTCACTGAGAAAACAATGTATATATGACATCCCAAAAACCACGTATAAAACGTTTTTATTTGATGTGCGGAAGTCACCGAATACAAACCTCAAAAACATGTGGTTGATGTGCGGAAGTCACCGAATACAAACCTCAAAAACACTTCCTGAAGTGTTGTAAACCACAAGTCAACAGTCAGAAGAAGCGGAAGTCAAGTCAGAGAGCAGAGAGAGAGCACAACCACTGCCTCAAGTCAGAAGAACACCGAATACAAACCTCAAAAACACTTCCTGAAGTGTTGTAAACCACAAGTCAACAGTCAGAAGAAGCGGAAGTCAAGTCAGAGAGCAGAGAGAGAGCACAACCACTGCCTCAAGTCAGAAGAAGTCAGATCGCAGATCGCAGAAGTCCGAGGAGCAGAGAGCAGAGAGCACAGTTTCGAGGCTCGAGGCTCGAACTCGAACTCCAGAGAGGTAGGTTTGTGAGAGGAGTATTGTTGAGAGGAGATGATGATATCCCTCTCTGACTGTGACTGTATATTGTTGAGAGGAGATGATGATATCCCTCTCTGACCTGTCGTCCTGGCTCCCCCTTGCCGTAGCATGTTGTGGTCTAGGAGCTGTTTCTCTGTCAGCCTGGATGTTGGGTTTCAGATCAGATCTCATCAGAGCAACTCAGAGCAACATCTGATCTCACTCGTCCTGAGGAAGGACAGTAGCACCAAGTAGCACCAACCTTGCTTAAGGGTTGATATAGCCACAAGGGTCCACACATATTCCCTGACCAGGAATCGAACCCTCGATCTCCTGTGCCAAAGTCAGTAGTGTCAACCACTGAGCTGAACTGGCTATGGTTATCTGAGGTATTGAGTATTTTTGATCTATAAATAATCTTGGTCCTGAGTGTGTGTGTGTGTGTGTCTGTGTCTGTGTGTGTGTGTGTGTGTGTGTGTGTGTGTCTGTCTTTCTCCTGCTGTTCTTACTCAGTTTTATCTGCTGTTTATTCTGAAAGTGAAGATGTATATGAAACAGCAGGTGATGAAAGAGTTGTAGATGAGACTACCAGACAGTAAACAGTTAGTGTTAGCATTAAAATGCTGCTGACATGTTCATCAAATACATCACATCGATCTCATCGTCCCTCTGAACTGTCCTCACACACTGTTTGAGTCAAACTGACACATTGTGACTTCTGAAGTCAGTGAAGCTCTAAATTCCATCTTTGAACAGGAAATGTGTTTGTGACTCTTCAGCTCTGTCTCCTCTCACAGGGAGAAGATGATCTGCTGCATCCTGCTGCTCCTCACACTGACCTCCTGTGTCTGTGGTTAGTTTACTCCTTCACTTTATTATCTAGAAACTGATACAAGTCCTCAGTTAGTCTGCTCCTCACTTTCCCTCTCTGTCTCCTCAACAGGAACATTTGTAGTGAATGTGACACAGAGCTCCTATCAGGCAGAGGAGAACCACAACATCACACTGGAGTGGAGCTTCACAACCAAACCTCACACTCCATCTGACTTCCTTATTATCTTCTGTCAGCTGTTTACTGATCTCAGAGCCTCAGTCCTGTATCATCTACATGAGGGTGTTGAGTCCCCAGAGTCTCAGGATGAACAGTTTTCAGGACGAGTCCAGTGTGACAAAGACGTCCTCAGAGAAGGACGAATCAGACTTCATGTGTCCAGACTGAGGACTGAGGACTCAGGACTGTAC